ACTTCAGTCATGATTGCCAGTAACTCTTTGTGTATTCCTCTCTTTTGAAAACCATTTAAGTGGCATCTGACACTGTTTGTAATGCTAAATTTAATGGAAGTTTGTAAATGTTATGATTCTCCCTCATAAATAAAGATACAGATATATCTTTATAAATGAATAAAGATATATATGTATAGTATTTTGTGTCTTCCATAATACAGAATATTTAAATGGTTAACATTTGTGCTGCAGTATAGCTTTCTAGCTCATGAAAAATGAAAGCTATCAGCGATCTGGGCAATAAGATTCATCGTCAATAGTCACTAGCAACAGCACACAGCATTTTAATATCAGCGAGGTCCACAGCTAGCAGTAAGAGCTGGTGTAATTGAAAGACGTTTAGGTGCAATCATTCTGCTGTTGTTCCTTGCCGTGTTCAACATGGGATTGTGTGAGTATTTGAAGAGAGCAGCTATTTTTTAAATATCTTTGAAAGATTTAAAAAGGGTAGATAAGTGTTTAAATGTAAGAAACGTAATTTTTAAATCCTGTGGCTCTAAAATAAAAATGTATTTTATTTGTTTTGGTTGAATAAAGCTTTAGAAAAGCTACTCCTTGGTTACAAGTGAACCGATAATTCTGGTCTAATGTTGCCGTGGTAACAACTCAAGCTGATATAATTGAGAACATCTTATACATCTGGTTCGAACATTTTCTCCCTGCCATTTTGAGTTGTTCTAATGCTATATGAAGGAGGCTAGGAGAACTAGCATGAAAGAAATTAAATCTAGCTCTACACATCTTTGGCACTAATCTAATGTTCACTAGTGATACCTCATGCTGGGCAGTTATGCCTTACTTCTAGGGGCTTTTCTTTTTAAAACAAAAGAAACCGCTTTTCATTTTCTGTGTGCTGCATGCTCCAGTGTATGTGTTTACACCATCAGCTCTACCTCTAGAGATTAACATAACTCCCTTTGCTGTGGGATTGTTGTTTTGAGCAATATGTTTTGGAAAGGTTGATTTTCATCATGAGTGGTAAGTATACTCTCTGAGCCTCTGCAGTTATATATTTTAAAAATATATATTTTAGGAAAAAAATATTTTTTGAAGGGGCAGTTGTAAAAGCCAGAGCTACAGTGATTATATTTCTGTTGATGCTTTTGCATTTAGGCATTATAGTAATTTGCTTTCAAAATCCATTAAGAACTGTGAACAATTAATACCACTATTAATAGACAGTATCAACAATCAGTTTCTAATTTTCTTATGCTTTGATTTATTGTATTCATTAGGTACTGTTTATTAATTGTTACAAATTAATGAGAAAAAGACCCACCATGATAAGAGAGGGAGTTTTTTTAGTATCTGAGCCTAAAGATAATTAAATTTTCCTTTTATTGGCTTTGTTATTCTAATATTAATTTTTGTTAGCTTCTTTTTGATTATATTTTCAAAATGCTAATCTTGAATAAGATGCTGCCAAAATTGTTTATTGGTTGACTTAACTACAGTTCATTAAGAAATAGGGATTAATGGTGAAATAAACATGCATTTTGGTTTTGGAGGCTTTGTTAAAATTTTTCAGAAATAATTTTTTGGGGTAATAATTTGTTAGAATAAGTACTTTTGTGATAAGTAGTCTCCTTTGTTTTTAATAATATGAGTTTTTTCCTAAATATTTCTGATAATGGTTTTTGAGAAAATATACTACAGTATATACTGCAGTTTATCATAGGTAAAAGCTGTTTGTTCACTTTAAGCCAAACCTGCACCTAAAAATAGATATCCTCTTGTTAGAGTGAGAAATATTTGCTTAGAGCATAATTCATTAGCATCTTTTTGCCTAACTAAAATAGAGGATTTTTATAAGTTATCCTTTGAACAGATACATTTTTAGAAGAAGTGCTACATGGTTTTTCTTATAACAGTCTATAATTTACACTTAAAAGATTTGGAATTGGAATTCAGAACCTGAGAGACTTGGATTTTTGCTGTATAATGATAGAATTCAAAAGAGATGAACATTTTCTTCCATAACAGATCATCTCACTATTGCCAATAAATATTTTTTATCCTGCTGCTGTATAACATAAACCTCTTAAATACTATTAGATATTTGTTTATAGAATGATATTCAACAGTAAAAGAACATTTTTTGTGTAGGTTATTAAGAATTAATTGTTATTGTTACTATTCTGTTATTTTCCTGTTACTAGATTTATCTTTTTGATCTAGTGTTTTAAATGTGGGCTAATATTATAAAATACACATGTTAACATTCTTTAGGGTTCCTGTGGATATCAAAAGTAAATATACCTCGTCATACATAAAAGATTAGATTTCTTTGAATCTGGCCAATGTGTGTCTTGTCTTTGAAAGTTTGATATATAACAGAATCTTTAAGTAACCACTGAGGTGTTCTAGGGGATTTGCAATTGGATGTATTGGTTTTAACTGAAGAAAATTGCTGCTGCTTTTCAATATTGCTTTATTTTTCTTTCAAGAAAGCTATGGTAATTCAGATAGTATTTGATATACTTGATTATATTGGCCTGCCCCTTCCTGCCTTTTCTCTTGAAGGAATCAAAGCTATCACAAATAGACATTCTGACCTTTTCAGGATTATCCAGTTCACAATTAATTTTACACATGCCATAAGTGGTTAAATACCTTAGCCATTTCAAAATGTATAAAATTACAAATAAAGTGTGGTCTTATTTGTAAAAATAAGCAAATGCTAAACCTTTTTGCCCAAGTCTGTACATAATACATACATGTGTTGTTTATGTGTATGTGGTACTTCCCTATTTTAAAAAAAAGACCCCTTTTTTTCTTCCTGCCTATTAAAGGTTAAATTTCTCTGGGAATAGTTTTTTCTGGGAATCTATCTTTGGCCCTAAATGCTACATTTTCTCTGAAAAATCTCATCCACACGAAGTCTTTAGTTGTTACCTGAACATTTCAGTTCAAATGTGAATTTTCTTTTTCCATCCCAAATCTGCTCCATTTTCATTGATTCTGATTTCTGTTAACACTCCACTGCCCATGCAGGAACCTGTAGTTATCCCTAACTTACATCTTAAAAACCTTCCAGACATGCTCACAGTCATTAGTTTCTATTGATGCTACATCAGAAATGTCTCAGAATCACTGAGTTTTCTCCAGTCGTACTGATACGGGCATGTTTTTAGATCAGACATTCCGTCTTCTCAGTCCTGTTGCAGTAACTGCTTCACTGGTCTCTCAGCTTCCAGTTTTATATCTCTTCAGAACATTTTTTCATGCTGCCATTTTAAAAATGCAAATAGCCATTTTTTAACCCAA